TCGCTCTGGAGAATATCCATGAACATATGTGACTTCGAAGAAGTGTTCTTTGGATAGCTGAGGTGGATAAGGCTTATGTCTTTTCGTAGATTGTTTAGCACTGAAGAGTTTAAATCCACATCATCGTAAATTTTTTTTTTTTTTTTAATTAAATTGATCATTTTGTTTTCATTTCTTTTATTTATGTTTTGTTACAAAATATATATGTGTCGTCAACATCTTTTTTCGGACACAAAAATAAATATTGTTTTTTTGATACTTCTTGTCAGCAAGGCTATTCCATACTTTTATAATACTAAAATAACTTTTAAGGGTTGGAACATAATTTGTGCATCTTGAAACTTGGAAGAAATTATGAACATCCTATTTACGACAAACAAAGCCGAAGGCAGAAGTTCAAATTAGAGTACAATCATCAGCGCCTGTCTACTGCTATTTACTCAACGTTGAAATTTTAATCAGTAAATGAATTTGATAAACACAATAGAAAATAGTTTTGTAAAAATTTTAAAATTGTTTGAAAATTTTTAATAAGGTGTGCTACTTTTATTCATTTTTATACTGCCAGAAGAATGAAGCAGTTCGATGAATAAGTAATTAAAACTATTCGGCAAGATTCCGAGACGAAATATTTTTTTAAATACCGCAGTATTTTGTTAAAAAAAAAAATGAATTACTTTTTAAGGTGATGATTAGACGAAAGCTATTTTTAAGCTATAGATTATTAAGGAAGTTTGTTACTCTACGATTAGTGTAGAAAATTACTTTCTGACTATAATTTAAACTTGTATTCATGGAATCAAACACTTCTTTACAGAATGATTCTTAGTCAATGATATCTTCTTTAAGTTTATTCTTCGAGGTGTGGGTAAATTAAAATATTTGAATGACTTATCTTCTGCTTTTAAAGTTGTAATTATTAGTATTAAAACCCATAAAAAAAAATTTCGCGTTTACTTCATATTTTATCATCTTTGATGTTTACTGCAATTAAAACCATGTAAAACTTGTCTTAATTAATTAAAAAGCATAACAGTAACTGCTTTATATAATATTCTATGCTATCATATGTCATAATTATCATAAGATGGAAAATGATTTAATTTTAGTTGAGTTAAATAATTATCTTTTATTTGAAAAAATTTAAAGTTTTCTTATTATTATGTTGTTCATACCTGCTCACGATCTTCAGTGTATTTTTTGAACACTCCTAATTAACTTGGCGTGGAAAGTATCGATAATGTCTACTTTCATACTTGTATTATTTATTTTGTCTATCAAAATGCTTATAATTTCTTATATACTCCCAGCAACCTCCTAAAGTCTTAAAACTACCAATACTGCTGCCCCGCTTACTATATATAGTCCTATATATGCCTAGACTGGCCCGAAAGAGACTGTGAGGGACATACTGTGCTGATTGACAAATACCTTTTATGAAAATAAAAATCCATAAAAATGGCTACCACTAGGAGTATCTACGAGGCTAAGAAACTAACTCCAAACTAAACTTTAGGTTAACTGAAGAAAGATTCAAGTAAACGTTTTACTTGAATATCCGTACCTCAGCTGACATAGACTTACACCATAGCAAACGAGCCCCACAACTGTTTATATTTTTACTCAAACGCTTAAAGTTCTTCATATTAGATTTAAGTAGTATTAATGCAATTTGTTAAAAGGTGGATAGCCTGCAAGGTACTTAGCAGGGCGAAGTCCGAGTGGTATATACAAGGGCAAGGTACCTCATCTACAGTGCAGAGTTGAAGAAGAAAGAAATTCTGATGGGACTATAATGTTGCTGGGTCGATCAATTGCTGTATATTAGTAGTGCTTTTCTTAGCAGGGGATAAGCCTGTGATGTCTGGATTTCTCTCGGGAATAATAGTTTTATAAACACCTGGTATACGATTTTACAGGTTCTGGCAGTGGAGCGAAATTTCAGCACAGTTTTAATATCACGAAATGACGGTACATCCACAACAGAAGTTTACTTGATCAACAACCTACTGTAGACCATTAATGACCGCACGTTTTACAACTTTATTTTATCTTAAATTTACAGTTAACACTTTGTATAATATTTGAACTTTACTACTAAGTGCCAAGTCAGTATGATTAGTGCAAGTGTGCGATAGACAGGCTCACACCCTGATCGCTCAGCAGTTGCAGCAGTAATGCCTTATACCGTCGGCACCTCTTTTTAAGACCTCTTTCTGTTTTTCTAATCATTCGGTGGCAATTTTCTCTTCCTTACTAATCCCTATTGACATTTTTATACTCTCTATATCTGCTGTTTGCCCGTCATGTTTTCTTTGTTTTCTCTCCTCTTTTCTTTACTGATCATTAATTTAGAAAAAAAACGAACTGTCAACACCTTTCTTTTCGTGACTGAATAAAATTTAGTTTTTTCATGCTAGGTGTTTTGTTTTGTTCCTTGATCATTTTGTTTAATGTTGATAATCTAAATTAATACATGATTTTGCGTTTTGGGCCAAGAACTATGTACTATCATCACGAAATTTTTTTTTCATAAAATTAAATAACAACGTACTTTTGCTGTGATTAATATTGTATTGTTGTATTGTATAACTAAAGATTCATATCACCAAATACGTAAATGTAAAGGTTTTCTTATTGAGTGACCTTAAAAATTGAAAATTACAAATTTTTTAAAATAAAAAATGAAAATTATTTTGAGTTTGATATTGGTTGGATTCCATAACGAAGAATGTAATAATTAAACTGAATATTAATATTATATTATGTTGTACAAGTGTCTATTGTTTTCGAGATAATTGTGTAAATTTATTTTTTAATTGAAAGCCACAAAAAACTTTTTTTGAATTATCATTTTCATTAAGTAGTGGATTTGGGAGAAAAAAATTTTGGTTCAAGACGCGTCGTGTTTTTTCCAATTTCAACGAGACAGTATTATTATCTTTTACATTAAGTCAAGTGTCTCTAGTATAAGTTATAAAAAGGAATAGAAAGTGTCAGAGAATTTAATGGTATATGTATGTTTTTTGCACACTGTTTACCCAAGCTTATGACTCTTGATGTTGACATTTGTCGTTGACTTTACCACAAGCTTAAATTTTGCAGAAACTTTATGCATAAGGTAAAATGTTACAAAAAATTCATGACTACTTAATCTTTGATGTTAGTCCATGTTATAAGTTAATCCATGTCGTCAGATATTTTGTCATAAGCACTTCATATAATATGGTTATTAACACATGTTTATTAATTTATTGTAGTTGAGAACTTTCTGTATCCACTTTGTCACATTTATTCCTTTAGTTCATTTAGAAGCACACTACTTAGTTATAAACTAATGACATTATAAAATATCATTTAATGTAAGTTTTTTTGTTGATAATTAAACTTTTACTTACTAACGGTTATTTATCTCCGCATAAAAATTATTTACGAATCTGATTCTAACGTACACTCACATCACTTATCCCATCCGACGACTAATCCACAAATTTGTAACCATTGCTGTAGAGTTTTCAAAATTCAATTATGAGAAAGACCATGTCATGATTTTGGCCAATCTTAACAAACAAATGTTGCTAAATCTTTTGTATCTCCAAAAAGTGTACGATCATAAGATGAAAAAACGATAGTTTACAAAATCTACTACTGTAAGTAAGATGATCTTTGCAAACAACCTGTAGTTAATTTACAGAAATTTCCTGCAATTAATTTGTTTTCCTTCCTTTTTAATTTTAAAATATTGGTTATCTTACTCATTATACCTCCATCATTTTCCATAAGAGTAAACAAGGTATTGCATTATCAGTTTGCCTCAAAAATTGTAATAAAAATTAATGTGAAGAATAGTAAAATGCTGTCAGAAGCTTGAAGCAGAATCATGACTGCAACATTAGAAAAAAGCTATGAAAGTCAAAAAAAACACTGTATCTCGAAGTTAGAGCAAATCAAGGCCAAAAACAAATTTTTTTACTAGTTTTGTTAAAAAAATGGAAACATCGAAGTTCTCAAAGTAAAAGTGGTTAATCATCATAGAAATAAGATCTAGAAATGTTGTTAACGTCTTTACTTTATTTCTATGCAATAGAGATAAAAAATAAATAAAAAGTAAAAGCGCATTTATGGTATTGATGTGAACGTGCAATGATTTATTGAAAACAATATATAATATGAATTGAAAAAAAGGGAAAAAGTTTATCAAAGAAAAAACAAGACAAGCCAAAAATAATAATCTGTACAGATTTTCTAAAGAGATTGGATACCTTTGAAATTCAGAAAGAAGTGGGAGCTTGTCTTTATAAAAAATAACATTAATTTCCTATTTAAAGTTTTTCTCTGAAACTGAGATCAAAAAATGCGTATTAAATTATAGAAAGTAAGTAAATTGGTTTGCAAAACAAATACATGCAAACATTTCGAAAAACTTGTTTAAAGAAATATGATAGATCTGTTTTTTATTTTTTTTCCTTAAATACGGGATGTTCCATCATTTAAGATAACAATGTTTACGTTAAAATCCTTTTTATATTTTAATTCTTATACATCATGTTCTTGAACAATTAGTTTTAAATTTTTACTTCTGATAGCAGTACTGCCTAATTGCCTGGCTTTTTGACTCTTAACTAAATTAAAAAACTTACTTTAAATAATTCAAAAATATCTGTAGTTTTCTTAAAAGTGGAAACTTTTTCTTTAAAATGGAAATAGCCTATTAGTATTTTTGATTTTAATTTAACAGCATGTTTTCAATATGAATTATTTTAAAAAGAAAAGTATAAATTATCACATAACGTTATTAACAAGTAATTTTTTCTTAAAATTTAAGAACTTGCACCATGGGACAAATGTTCTTTTAATGCACATCAGTTTCTATTATATCGTTATTCATTATTTCATCATGGTCCCTGATAATTATATTGCTATGTTTAAGTTCTTATACCTATATAACACATTATTCCTTGCTAAATTTTTCAGTATTGTAATACAAACTTTTTACTTACGGACTTTTGATGTAACTGGCATATAATGATGACCACAGTAATGTATTCGTTTTTTTTTGGGATCATATAATTTAAAAAATAGCAATACATCAGTATCTTTATCAAAAGATGGTAACAGCATCACTCCTAAGTCTGGGGATATCAATTCAACAAATACGGTCCAAGGGTTACCACTTTCAGCACAATCTGATATAGGCTTTTGAAGATCAGATTCTGGTTCAATTAACGTAGGTCGACAAGTTTGATTTGATCTCATACTAAAAGGCCAAATTCGTATTTGTTCTATTGAATATTTCTAAAAAAGTAATAATAAAGTAATTAACACATTTTATCCATAAAAATAAATAACAATGAAAATCCAGTAATTTAAGTTTATTTGTTATGAACTACGTTGCTAATGGTATATCAAAACTGAAAAAACGAAAAAAACAAATATAACATCTAAACAAACACGAATTTCTAGAACTAATATAGAGACAACTCTTTTGAATGATAAATTTAAGATTAAGTTCTTAATAAATTTTGCATTTCGCATGGCTATGCAGTAAGGCAATCATGTTACTTATAATTTTTATGCCCAAAGATAAACAATCAGATTACACAGACCAACAAAAAAAAATTTTTTAACTGGGCATAGAAAACATGTTTTTTTACATACTTTTGGTGCTGAATCTTAAACCAAAGTTAGAATGAAGGGCCTCACAAGAAAATTTTGAGTAAATCGCTTTTTAAAGACAGAAAATTCAGAAAACTAGTCTAAAACACCTTATCCATTATGTTTAAGTTCATAATAGACCAGGATCATCAGTATCTTATTTCTCAGTGTACAAAGAAACAGACTGCTCGCATACTAACCCAAAAAATGAAAAAAATTACAAATTACAATAATCGTGAAGCCTCAAGTAGGTTGATGGCTTGTTGCATCGCAATATATAAATACATATACAACTGTGACATACTGTGTCACAGTACTACGAATGACATACTGTGTCTCGATTCTAATGTTATTTTCTTTGGATAGAGCAATCAAGGCTCTTCAAGCCTTTTTAGATAAGGAATCACCAGATATAGTAAATGCTGAGCTGCGATTAAATTCAATTAACAACATTTACCATAAATATATTCATAATCACGAAGAGTTAGCTATACTACAAATTGACCATCCCAACATTGTTGCATTTCGCGAGCTCGAGACTACATACTATAGTCTTGCCACTCGAGTGCAAAAATTAAAAACACCCTAGCCTCACCCACTAGCAAATTTGACTGCGCTCAATGGTACTTTAACCTTCACGGAGCGAGTCGAAGTGCCAAAACTTGCGCCGATTCCTGTCCCAAAATTCGATGGAAACCATGAAAATTTGGTTGCTTGAAAGGCAAACTTTTAAGCCTTGATACACGATCGTCCGGGGATGGCAGGGTGCATTAAATTATCCCAACTAAAGGACGCGGTTCAAGGCCTAGCTGCAATCGTAATCGATGAATTTCAACCCAGCGACGAAAACTACGTTTTAGCATGGGAAGCATTATGCAGAGCTTACGATCAGCGGTGCGTCATCATCAACGAATATTTTGACGCCCTCTTGAATTTGTCTCCAATCAAAAAACCGAACGCCTAAACCACTGCAAAATCGATGTACACAGTCCGTCAACATGTCAGCAAGTTGAAGGCTATGCAAATTACAGTAGGTGACGAATTCATTGAACGCATTCTTGAAAGATCCTTACCAGCAGGTATATTGTCGCGATGGGTGGATCGACTATCGAGCAGTGAAATGCCCAAGTTAGATGCTCTATACACCTTCATTCAGGATTCCATTTTGGATACACTGAGGATACACTGTTAGATTGCCACTCCGATCCAAGAAATTCGAGCAAGGTTCATCCAAGCGTCAGGCGTTACAGCGATTTCAGGCGTTGGAAAGGAAATTCAAGACTAATCCTACCCTCAAAGCAGAGTATGAGAAGGAGATTAACGGATATGTGGAACTTGGCCACATGACACTGTGTGAAGATGACTCTGAGGATGGCTACTATTTACCTCACCATGCGGTGATCAAGGAATCGAGCGAGACAACCAAATGTAGAGTCGTGTTTGATGCGTCAGCTAAGACATCTACAGGCATATCACTAAACGATATTCTGTTAACCGGACCTACTATTCAGGAAACCCTTTTTCAGCAAATTTTACGTTTTCGCTCTCATCCTTTCGTTATCACTGCAGATATAGAGAAAATGTATCGACAGATCTGGATTTATCCAGACGATAGGAAATTTCAAAAAATCCTGTGGTACCACGAGGGAGAGATTCGAACTTTTATTCTCAACGTCGTTACGTTTGGGGATAGAAGCGCCTCTTTTTTAGCAATTCGGACCTTACATCAGCTGGCTTCCGATGAGGAGTTCAACTTTCCACGAGCTACAATGCTACTTCGTCGTGATTTCTATGTCAATGATTTGCTTACAGGTGCGAGCACACTGGAGGAAATCCTGGCGATCCGCAATGAAATGATTCAGCTCTTGAGTCGTGAAGGATTTCTGATTCAAAAATGGGCATCGAATCATCCGTCTGTTTTGGATAATATAGACAAGAAAATCTTTAATTTAGATTGCGGAATTCAAGGAAGTCCCATTAAGGAAACTTTAGGTATAATTTTGGATTCGCAACGCAACATTTTCACGTTTCTTGTGAACTCTGATAAGGGGTCATCCGTCTCAACTAAAAGAAAACTCCTATCACAAATAGCGAGAGTTTTCGATCCTTTAGGCTTACTAGGACCTTTGACACTTTACACTAAAACTTTAATTCAGGAATGCTGGGTAGCCAAAATCACCTGGGACGAATCCCTTCCTCAAGACATTCATTTAAAGAGGGTTGCATTAGCTGATTAGCTTCCTCAGCTGAAATTTATAGCAATCTCATGATCTCTGCGATGTGACAATCCTGTTTCCACCGAGATACATGGGTTTTGAGATGCGTCTCTATATGGTTACGGCTTTTGCCTTTTCATTCGTTCTACCAATTCGTTCGGGAATGTTACTATCAGACTAGTTTATAGTAAATCTAAGATCGCTTTATTGAGTCATCATACTATTCCTCGATTAGAATTGGCCAGCGCCGCACTCCTCAAAAAATTATATGTGGAATCAAAGAATCAGCTAGTTTTTCCTATTAAACGGGTGATTCTCTGGTCAGATTCTATGATTGTTATTTGCTGGTTAAAAAAAACACCTCATTTGTTACAAACGTATGAGAGTAATCGAGTAGCCGATATCCAAAAATTAGGAGACGAGCTGAATGGAGACATGTTTGTTCAAAAGACAATCCAGCTGATTTGTTGTCACGAGAACAATTACCAATTGACTTATTGAATAATTCTCTTTGGACATCCGGTCCTCATTGGTTGTCCCTCTCTAAAGACAACTGGCCTCTGTCGCTACCCATCTTCCTAACCAGTCTCACAGTTTTTAAGGAAGGAATCGTTATAACTACGATTGTATCAGAAAGTTCTATTTTCTCTCGATTTTCCGACTACGGCTGTCTTATCAGATCAGTCGCATATTTTCTCCGTTGGAAGAGAGTCAGGTCAAGTGCAGATCAAGCTAAAGGCCGATCGAGTATAGGTGTACGTTATTTATCTCCTAGCGAAATCACCAATGCTGAACGCCTCATTCTTCTCTTGACTCAACGAGAAACTTTCAGCCCTGAAATAAAGCTCCTCAAATTCACTCAAAAACAAAATTTCAATAACTCAGTTGGTTCAACTAGAAGTCATACCAAGTTTGATGAACTTAATCCTTTCCTTGATAACGGTGGCCTGATTAGAGTAGGTGGTCGTTTAAAAAATTCAGACCTTTTTAATCGAAAGCACCCGATTTTACTTCCTAGCAATCATCATGTCTGATCTCATTATTCGTGACGCACACCATAGAAATCTTCACTGAAGAAATCTTGACTTACCAGAGTCAAGAGTTGCTTCTGCTTTCGCATTGAGTAAAACAGGTTTAGATTTCTTTGGTCCGATTTTAATCAAGAAAAAAAAGAGCCCAATCGAAGTTTTATTAAGAACTGATGGGTGCGTTTTTGTATGTATGGCGACCAAAGCGACCCATATTGAAGTAGCATGTGATCTCTCTACTGAGGGTTTTCTCAACTGTTTAAGTAGATTCATTAGTATACGCGGTGAACCAGAAATTATGTATTCAGACAATGGACCTAATTTTGTGGGGGCGAATAATGAACTCTCAAGAATTTACGATCTACATATGACGCAGGAATTCAAGGACGCTATTCAGGACTTTGCCGCGTCCAAACGGATTGAATGGAACTTTAATCCACCTATTTCCCCATATTTCGGTGGATTATGGGAGGCCACGGTCAAAAGCTAGAAGCACCATTTAAATCACGTTATGAAGGATCAGAAGCTCACGTATGAGCAATTAGACACGTTGTTGCAAGAAATCGCGGCTATTTTAAATTCTCGACCGTTATACGCGATTTCTGCCGATCCTAACGATTCACTAGTGCTGACACCTGCGCGCATCTTAATTGGACGTCCATTCAATTTCTTAGCCGAATACAATTTTGTTTCAGTTCCAGACAACCGCCTGACCACTCACCAACCCATTTCCAAGATTCGACAAGACTTTTGGAAAAGATGGCATAAGGAATATTTGCACGAACTACAAACTCGTCAAAAATGCCTGACCTCTACCGCTACTTTGACACCCGGCTTAGTGGTCGTGTCAATGGAGGACAACTCTGCGTGTGCAAGATGGCTGCTGGGTGTCGTCATAGAGATCCACCCTGGAAGTGATGGCATTGCTCGTGTAGCATCTGTGAAGATGGCTTCAGGGATCTATAAGAGGAATATCACTCAACTTTGCGTGCTACCTATAGCTCAGGAGAGTAAAGTTTCGTCAGAATCTCAACGCCCTCCTAAAGATCTTTGAACGCTATTGATCATTGCTAGTCAAATAATGAATTTAGATAACGATAATGTAAGAAACAACTTTTTGATGGCGTCATGTCGGTTAATCGGTTATTCATTAGATTTAAGGAATTATTCTAGTGTGTGGGTTGCGCTATCTGACATAGTTAGATATATCAATCAAAATAATCAATCGAACTGTGATATATACTGATCAACAGAATAGTCCCTCCAACGGAAACTGATTCTATTTGTAAATCTTCCAAAAATTAATAGAGAGAGATTAATTTGACTCTCGTCAAGGTGAATTTAAGTTAAATTTAACTCTGCTCAACTGTTGTGATTCAACCTAGTTTCGCAGCCG